TTCACATTCTCTGCAGAAGACGACACGCAAGTCAACTCGTAAGGTTGATTTGTATTTCGTCTAGGAATGTGATGCTCAGGCGGATGACCGAAACAACTTGTCACCAGATTGTACACCAGTCACGAATGCGCAATGTTTTCTTGTGTGGCTTTATTTTTTTACGATTAAATACCAGATGTTAGCATTCAGTAGTTTTATGAATTGGGAATGTAATTAGAGCAACAGACTGGGCACCTGAAAGTCAGGCTTTGCTCGTCCTTAGAAATGAGTACAGATATTTATTTATGAGATCACAAAATGAGTAAGACTTATGAGGCTCATCGGATTGAAACTGGAGCGCTACTATAACATTCATCCCGGGCAGCAACTTCCTGGTAGAGCCACTGTTTGGTATGTAGGCCGGACGTATTTGTTACCATGGTCACAGTGGATTTGTAAGTAGAAAAAAGGGCAATGATTAGTAGCCACTTCACTGGATGAATTCATGTGGAGTTGAATAAATGAGACAAGTGACAGGTTGACTAAGTGTCTCTGTTTCCAAATTGATACGGGTGGACAGGTTGTTTGCTGAGAATTCACTGTGAGCTGATATCGAAAGATTGTTGGATCATGATCGTCTTGTGCCTCTGACGGCGAAGAGGCTGGTTTCGGCGAACGCACAGTTGTGCCGAACCCTGTAGTAGGAACGCGGTTTTGCGACACAGGTTCTTTCCTCCTTTATGGGATTCGAAAATGCGCTCATTGTGGGTCGCATTATAGGGTTTCCGCTTCGCCGACAACTTGTTCGTATTTTCAGAGCCGTACATCTGATTTCATCAGCTTAGAACTGGCAGTAATGGGCCAACGTGGAGGTGTGGGGCCAGATGTCAACTCACGGTTCTACTGGAAAAGTCTCGTGGGGCGTTACATTTATCAATGTACACAAGTTTTACTCCGTGCAGCGCATTTCGCTAATATACTTCTAGTGTTCGACCGTTAGATCGTAAGATTCTGGGGTCAATGTAAAAGTTTTCCACAAGGTGCTGTTCGGTTACTCGATCTGTCTTGTGTCCGCTGATCTTTATCCCATTTGTATGCGGAAAGTTACCTAATTTCGTGGACAAAAATGACAGACTCTCTC